GGATTCCGTGACCATAGACGGAGCATTGGATGTGCTTCAATTGCGGATTAGAATCATTATTACAAGATTTGACAAGACAGGAACCCGGATCTTATCCAAACACATCTGAAGCAACTGAGTCAATGTTTTCGTTAGTTACCTCACTGTCGTCCCAGCGAAATGTAAATGAATACAATCTGCTGCAGGGGAATTGCGATGACACAGAGAAGTCAGCTCCTTCAGTATTTCTTCAGTGGTAAAATAACTGTACTTGATTCCTGTTGGCGTTTTACCAAAAGTAGGAAGTTTGCCTGATGACAAAACTGGTCAAAATTTGCCAGTGCATTGCGTTCTTGGTGTCTTTCATAGGTATTTTTCATCAAGCTTCACATAAAAGATGCTGTTTATTTTCACTTTAAACGGTTGTTCAAATAACATCGTTGATCCTAGGTTAGAACCTAGCAGCTTGACAAAGGAGACATATGAGTATGCGACAACGTAAGTCAAAATTTTAATAACTATTATGCCAACAAAAGTAGAAGGCACTGAAGAATCTTATAATGATATTCACAATAATCCTGGCTATGAATAGGAAGGTCATCCTAACTTAAGATACTTAATCTCACAAATGATTCCAATAATTTTGAACTGAATGTTTGGAGTCATATGCCAACGAATACCAAATACAAACTTCCATATCTATCACAAAATAGCAAAATTATTCATCAGTTTGGCGACCGAACTGCATAACAATGGAACAATCGTTGTATAGAGGTAAAAACGCTAATGCTTAACAGATTCCGTAGGATAGTTATGATGAAGCTATATGTAAAAAATAGTTGACAATATTGGGTTTACTCCAGTGAGCTCAGCGAGGTATACGTAGTTTAGACTGTAAATCCAAGCGAAATCCATAACAAATGATGGCAAATGGGATGTTGGTATAACACGTGTCTCCTTGTGGTGTACCCATAGTGGACGTGGAAAAGGTGGAACGAAATCCGTAATTTGGCCGCAAGTGAAATCCCTTGAAGACACTTGTTTATCCATAAGTAATGGGTCATGATAGATGGTGAAGCGAAGTAAGTGCACTGTCAACTAGGGCTTTGAGCTTTGCCAGCATGGAAGCACATATGGCAGGTTCCCTTAGGGTATACCATGTATGGCAAACGTGTACAGAAAAGAAATTACAACGATATTCCAAGCGACCGTGTTGTTCTGCCAGTTTGAGATGGTGACCTCTCAAAATGTTGTTGTGACAGAGCTCTAGTAAGAAGCGGCATGTGTGGTTTGAAACTTTCAAAATTCGACACGTCAAAATCTCCCCGCGCAATTGCCGATACCATCCGCCGAATACCACGAGTACTTATAGCCTTCTTTCATACGGTAAATTATACAGACCCTTGATATTTTTGGTGGCCCGGCTTTGGGCTATTTTCAAAGCGGTGTGATCTCTCTTCAACCATGGTTGCCAGACCTCTATTATGTATTTCACATGTGGCCGTATATATGAGCCGAGAAGTTGTAACAATTTCGAAGGTTCGAATCGTTTAAATGCACGCTGCGGGATGCCCAAATGTTGGATGCTCATCTTAGACGACATTTCAGCGTGTTTCGAACATCCTATATCGACCTGGACAAAATCTCCCAGATCCTTCACGTTAGAAGACCTTTAGCAATATTTCCTACTAAAGCACGTTGTGTGAGCACGCGTTTTCAGTCGTTTGCTTTCACAGAACTCATTGTACAAATGAGTGCGGTACTTTTACTTTAGCAGGTGGTAAATGAGTTACGGAGTTTGTTGTTTCTGCTGAGTAGGGTAAGCATGGGTCAACATACAATAAAACTGGACTGTAAGTCTTGCTTGATATTGAGTAATGAGTTTTTCTATCCAACCAGAGCTGGTAAAGTATTTCATTCCTGTTCGATATAGTAACACATTAATTTATCTAATCCGGTTGATTGAATTGTCTACGTTAAACTTCGGTGAATGGTGATGTGGTGTCTGTTGGAGCAACGACGTTGTTATTGCGCTGTTTTCTGCCGGAAACCAGTAAAAGTAACGTGGAGTGCACTGGGAAAGAGTAATGCATCGTACAGTTGATTTTAGCAAAAGCATCTGCACCATCCAAAAATTTGCAGTTTGGCCTTATTATGTTATCGAACAGATATGAATTTGGCACTTAGACCTAAATAAACTTGCTGATTCGCGTTCTGTTATTGTTTTCAAATAGGCAATACAACACAACCACTACAAATCTAGTGTTATCTGTAATCCAGTCGATTAGCAGACCATTCAGTCTATACAGGTTACGTTAATTTTAAACGAAGTGGGCTGTTATTACAAACTCGTATGCAGTGTCGCATTGAACACAATAATGAGCAAAAATGGGTGTGATATGTCCAACAAATTTTGGCGTGATCAGTTTCTTGGGGTGTTCCTTGCAACTGCCATTTGTCAGTTAATCATACGAAATTATAATTAAAGGTACACTTTTAACATAACTGCTATTACTCAGCAATGGAATTTTCCATCCATGGTCCAGAGATGTTATTTCCCGCCTCGAGAAAGTTGAGTCACCCTTGCAAATCTATCAGTGCGCAGTGAAATTTAGCTTTAGTCAAGATTGTTGTAATGGTTTGACCGCCGGTCCACACTTTTTCTGGTATGTAGTTATTGTCTAGAAAATCTGTAGCTGAACCAGTTTTATCTTAAAACCTGTGTTCCTTCCAGAGATTTTGCTTTATACAAGTGTGTGAAGAACAAGGTGCCTATGGTGTAGTTAATCATTATATTTTGTTCTTACAATTCTTACATTATAATTTTTACGTCGTAGCAACCCCCTTATAAACGTAGACCGTATAACCCAGCCCAGTATCTCACTTACCAAGAAAAGAATAATATGGTTGCCTGCCTATTAGAAACTAACGCATAGCTCAGAGCAACATTCAGCAAATTATTCAACTTAATGTTACTCCGACTTTATGATTCCATCTTACACTGAAAACGGGGCTATTTACATAGCTAGGAAATCCAAATTTAATGAAGTTCGAGTAACTGATTATTACATTATGGAGGGTAGACATGTAGCAGGAAAAAGAGAGTTAAAGTGGCATAAAAGCATAAAGGTATCATCGATTAGAGCAAAGTGAGAGGGGTTGCAGGATAGATCCCGGCTTGAAATGTTGGGATAGAATAATTGCACCGACCTTCTGTTTCGAATTTTCAGTTAGGGTTCAGCATATGATATTTTCTTAAATGATTTAAAATGCCCACTATACTTTGGGGGATCCAAGAGCAAGCCTTGATCCTTGGAAACATCTTTTTTCGTTACGTCAATGAAGTGTAAGAAGACAGAGACTGAGGGAGCTGTATAAAAGTTATCAAATTTTTCATTTAGGCGAACAACGTCATCGAGGTTCCATTAGCATAAACTTGTAACCATTAGTTACAAGGTGTTTGTTATGAAAGCTTATAGTTTAAAGCAGATTTTAAGTTGCAGAAGAATGTATTTTTCATCGAATTACAGTGATTGACCGACCAATTATACTGTGATGTGGCACGTTGCAAACAAACCTGTGAACCTTGTGAGCGCTTGAGTTCACCTTGTATAATGTGCACGTTAAAAGCCTTCACATGGAATACCACTCGCAAAAGTCCTACATTGGTTAACTAATAACACTGTTTTTCAAGCAATCATTCAATATGTCAGTATAATTTTAATGCCGCTAAATGGTGACCCGAAATCCGGACCTCCGATGCAGAAGTAGAATTATACACCTCAAATTTCTAGTTCCAATAACAATTCGTGCAATTTAGCAACTAATACACGTGTGCAATTATTTGACTTCCCCAGCAACAAGTGGAAGTAGTTTTCGTATGTAACGTATGGTGTTATGTATGCTAGCTCAACTATACTCATCTGTTAAGCACAGTCATTTATCAAGAGTGACGCAGAGGATGCATTTTATCTACTGCGAATACGTATGTTGTTCACCGACAGAATTATATTTTGGAGAGTCATAGGGCCGCTTTGATCTACTGAGAGTCATCAGTGGTGCGTATCCATGCTAAGCCTGACACTAAATCCATTAACTTACGGTGCCAGCAACTCATGCCACTAGGTAATAGGTGAAGACGGTAAGCCCTAGTGACGTACACCTAACGGTGACGTAGCGCAGTTGTCTGATTAGGATTTGGCTCTTTTTTAATCACATCTACTTTACTTCAAAAATCATATATTAGTAAAGTAACCCGGTTCAAGCAGCTGACTATACAAAGTAAGCGCAGTGAGAAACTCAACTCTAAACAAGTGAGGAGACGATCCCTAGAGTTAAAGCAGCATCTCAGCCTCTGCAATCTTAATTCAATGCACAAAATCAAGGTGTATGCAGCTAGTGGATGCGGCTCCATTTTCGATAAAATAAAATGGGAAGTTTTATCTTTACATTGCATTTTGGTTTTTTAACTTTTCATTTGGCCTGCAAGAGTTTGCTTTACTCCCCATTTGTACGATTGTGCATTCGACAAGATGCTGAATTAAGATTTGCTTAAACATGTGACGTACATGGCACTGGTCAATGTGGCGCTAAAACAACGCAGTATTACTTAGAACTAAACAGGGCATTTTATACAGTCTAATTTGAATTCACTGCAAAAGGTCTAAATAAAATTCACAGCTGAACTTTTTAATGTACCAGATTAGTCTCACTTTGCTGGACTGGTCTACAGTGCCGTTCTCCTTCATCAGAAATAGTGATTCTCTTAGGAATTTGTTGTAGGGAAGTAACATGTAAAAAATTAGAGATTTAGGCTCAGTACCTTTCAATCAGTTACCGGTTACAGGGTAAAACACCGGTTTCATTCGTTCACATTCATCTTCGACTACAGTTTCAAGAAACAAGCAATTGTTTGACTAGGCCAAGTTGACGTAAATTATTTTTCAATTGCTTGTTATGGTCCTTTGTTGGCTAATTGACTCCTTAAAACTAAAATGGGATATCCATTCTTTTTTTTCCAGTGGTATCGTATGCTATCTCAGTCGGCGTCATCAGCAGTATAGCCTCCCTCCCTGCATCCGCCTGGATGCTGTCCGCTTTGTGGATTTGTGTTATTGCGGTGATCATTGCAATCGTCTTTCTATTCTCCGACCCCGAGAGTATTTGATTTGTGGATACATGTGTCATATTGTATTCAATCAATTTGCGGCTGCACCGCTGCACACATTCTTAGACCGGTTTTGAAAGCTGCGATAAGTGGGATGGTCAACATGAGACCCAAAAGATATCTAACCGACGATCAATATTTTTTTATTAATTTCCACATCGCATGATACATGAAATACAATCATTATTTGAGCTCGTTTCACTTATTGACTTAATCCGTTAATTTCGTGGTAATTTGCATTGTCCGCCTAAAACACCCCTTACAGTCTTGAAATGATAGGTTCAAGCAGCAGCTGTTTCAGTGGAAATCGGGACTTCTGGAAGCCATCCACCCTCCTCTGCAATGATGGTAACCTGCATGGCAATGGAGGATGGGTCTCGAATTACGTCAACGTGCTCAGAAGTATAAGCTGCGCTCTACTTGACACACGCTGCTAGTGGCCGTGGATTCAGCTGTTCTCTAGCCAGATAGTGCTCAAAACTAAAGAGCTCCGTCATGGAGAGACGGCCATCTGATGCCATTCCGAAGTGGTGATTGGACTATATAGCTTTTATGCCGCTAAAACAAAACAAGAAAAATGTGAAGGACAAAAATCGTATCAGGTGCAGATACGAACATTTCACAAGCACACTAATGTGAATGGACTTTAGAACAAAGTAGAGAATGGTAAATTCCTTATCAATACACTTAGAATATTTGCATGTTTGTGAAAATCCTCAGGTGACTTTGCGAAATGTTTAGGCAGCTGAGTCTAGGCGGGTCAAGTACGGTGGGGCTTGCATATGACTATCTAAGCCCTTGGCAGCACTGATGCAGTTATGAAATAAACTGATAAAGTGAACGAGCAAACATGAGGTTTAGCGATGAATTACTAACCGCTGTGTCAAGCGTTGCCTACTGAGATCTAGGTTAGTGGCTAAGGCGTAAGCTGCCAACCACCGCGCCGAATTTTAATCCCAGCTCAGCCAATCTCAATCAGATGAACCCAAACAAGGAAAAAACCTTCGGTCGTGGTGTGCAATGTTGAGCGAGATAGTAACTCGGGAAACTCTCTACTTCAAATGCTGTCCCTGTGAAAGAACTGGCTGAGGTTTCTTCAGATCAAACCATGGTTTTGATAGAGACTGCATGCCGTCACCCAGACACAGTGTATTCCAAAATCCAACAACAATATTAATTCACCTAATCAGAATTTTGGAAACAAGTCATTTGCTTGTGTTATTAGCCTCCTGGCTAACGCGAAGTATAACATGAAATGTGGATTGGACAAAGCGTAGTCCAGTCGTTTTTAATATCATTAGTTTTGGGTCAGATAACACAAGTTAGGTGAGAGTACCACGCTGACACATTCAAAGGGAGAAAAAATTTCGACGGGATTCCACCTGCTATACTATATTTCCATTTCTAATGGTAATCTTTGATTTTTATGCTAATGTTTAGAGCTAGCAGCTGGCGGTAGGTTTTGTTCTGCTGGATCTGACATAGCCTGAAATGGTGCACCGTAAGCGCCCATTTTGACTGCTGTACATCCCTAGTGAATTTAGTCCGATCTGGTGGAGCAAATAGAAATAGCCCCTTAGCTTCTTGAATGCCTTTCATTGAGGTGTCTCGAGAGCCGCAAGTTTCTACTTCGGCCACATGTGTCACGCCTGAAAGGCATGTTGCAAATGCAGTCGCATACAAAATGTAAGCATTTGTGAAAAATTATGGGGTTGCAATGGCTGATGCTTTGCGAAAAACTGGACTTATTAATTACCGGTTCTCAACGCTTTTCGGATTGTTTTAAGTAGCCCCGCTAGTGTTGAGCCAGTATCCGAAAATCAGGCTTTTGTAGTCATTTGTGCAAGGCGCATTCTACATGCATATGAATGCTCACTGGCTGGAGGTGCAGATGAACCATTTTACACTTAGCTGTGTTGAAATGGTGTAGGTTCCACGTGGACAACCAACGAAAGCAGCCGAAGTCACTTTAGATAAATCGTGACATTGGTTAACATTAATTTTTAGCCATGGCATAAAATATCACAAAACTTTAAAAATTTAATGCGATAACCCATGCCAAGTCTTTGCTAAACACTAAGAATAAAAGTGGACCCAGCCCCAAGTGCTTCCGAACAAGTCATTCTAAATCAATCGGGTTGGAGAGTGCTCGTCTAACACGCAACGAATGCCTCCGTTGGTGAAGCTAGTAGACAATCCATCCATCGGAAGGATTCTCGACTCCATCGCTGGTTAGACTGTGAAGTTGGATTTGCGATTTAAGTGCACTAAATCCTAGCAATGATGTAAATGGATACTGATAGCAGCCAAATAGAGAAATGGCTTATGATGCCTATAAAAGCGGACGCTTTACAAGCCCCATCGGACGGTAAAGTTAAAATATAAAACTGAAAGCACAGTGGACGAAACTACGCACCGGATACATGACTCACAAAGAGTTTTGCTGCAGCATGCGCTCGAGTACTCCTGAAGAGATTTAGGAAGATTATGAGAGCATTCATTTTGTCTGCTTCATTAATTTTTTCAGCCGATGGTAATGGAATAGATCCCACCGTGTAAACGTGTTAGCGATTCGTCACGTCGGTTTTTGGATAGTAATAGGGTAGGGTGCTAATCACATGCACTGGGAATTCGTTCCAGGGTTTCCGCATTCGGGGGAGAAAATGTTTCCTAGATATTCTGTTCGGCTGCGCTACCTAACCAGCTTAAACTTATAACTCTTCAGGGATGTACTGTGACTGATTTTCAAAAGAAAGTGACAAATATGGTTAGAGCGATTAGGATCTGATGAACGATTAAGAGACCCTCTCGCAGACAACGATACCCTTCACTCTAAACTTTTAGAGTTTTCAGCCTGAGTGCGTATGGACGGTGGGACCGACATTTTACGCATTACGTTGATCTTCTTTGCTGTGGCGCTTCTGCTAAGGCTGTTAAATGTGGTTGGCTTATTCCGCGTACGAGGTGGGTGCCGAGCAATTGCGGAAATATTGAAGGATCGTACTTCTTGAAAGCCCTACGGCGGAGACAGAAGTTCTGTTTTGCTTTCTCCGATGTGCCTTTACTCAGTCTCAAACAGTCTAGGTCACCTTGCAAGAACATGCCCAGATCACATTTCTGAGACCGCTGTAGGAGTTGTGGCCTTGAGCACTCTGCCGGCGTATGCCCAGAACCTGGCATTATATTGACGGATCATGCGCAAGCTTTAGCCGGATTATCTTGTAGGGCTTTGTGATCCTAGGCGGTAATGATAGCAAGCAATAACTTTTTATCATCGTGCAAGTTGGAAACAGCAACGGCACTAGAACAGATATGTAGCCCAAGAACATGTGTGGTCCGTGTAACGGAAATTGAGATACGCCGCATTTGATTTCAATAGATTTGTATAAAGTGCTGCGAACTCTTACTTTCCCTGAGAAAATGTTGCCTATCCAGCCCAGTGCGGGATCACCGATCCCATATTTCGGAAGCTTATTAAGTAATATGTGTGGTGGTCCAACTGGTCGCAGTCCTAGCAATTAACAAGGGTGGTATCTGCTATTACACAAGCATCGCTGGTTTCTGCCCACCATGTGCAATCTGTCAGCAGGTTAGTAGTGCTGACTGATTTCGGCAAATCCTTGCTGCTCAGGAGAGAACATGTTGGTACCCTCCAATTTCCGCATGATTGCGTCAGCGACAATGGTCTCTATGCTCCTGAAGATCACAGCAATTGGTGTTACCTGCGGATAATTTGTTGATTTTACACTTTTCTACTTTTGGGATTAGGGTAATGATGCTGTGCTTCTAAATTGTGGGAACCTGTCTCACTTTAAGATAGCGTTGAAATTATGTGCTATATGATTAACTTTCTAGCGATTTCACAGCCAAGACCTACTCAAATCTGGTGCGAAATCCCGCTGTTTACTCAACACTGGCTTCAAAACTCTGATTGCGATAGCGCTTGCGATGACCAATCAAGTTTTCTAAGCTTCTTTGGGTTGCGTATAGTATAGATGTAGACGAATTCATGAGACTTATTCATGGTCACTTCAACCAAGTGTTATAGCATGGAACTACTTATATGATTCACGGTGTCTTTTGACTGTGATGTAGGACAGTGTTCAACAATCTGTTTGAATAAGCACCTGGTAGTAGGTTCGAGATACTTTGCACCACAGGTGCAAGTAGAAGTATATAAGAGGAAGGTTTCAGATCGGAACGGGAAATTGGACTAGATAGATATGGACCAATGGTCACCTTTCGGAAAGTAAGTAGAACCTGGAAGCGGGATAGATCTGGACTACAGCAGTTGCCTTTTTATCATTTAGGAAGTAATGTAACATTTAAAATGGACTGGAAGGAAAAAATTTACTTTTAGCACAGCATCAATTTGGATGGATTGCATCTTAATGAACGCGAGGGGATACCCAGTTTCTTGAGTGGAATTAGAGATGCCTTTTTCACTTTCAAGCGTCTCGGAGATACTAGGGGCCTTCGTGCAATGATACGGAAAGGGAACTAAATTTCTCTTGTATCTCAGAGTTACAAAACTAATAAGTAGCTGTGTTGACCTACCAACGTTGATTTGCGGAGGACGCTCCTTTCTATTGTTTCGTCTTCGCGCATGGTTAATAGAACTTCCAGGAAGACCAGGCTATCATCAGTTTCGTCTTCGCGAGTAAATTTTAATGATGTGTGCATTCGGTTATACTGATCCAGATGGCTGACGCTATCAGTGGAGTCACCTATAATAAACGTCAGGCATCTAACGGTATTAAGAATGTAGTGAAGGAATGACGTTACTCATAGGCCTTCTTTCGAACTTTTCGAGGAAGATGTCAAAAAATTTTGGCCTTGGAGAGAACCCATTGAGATCTCATCAATCTATCTGTAATAGATCACATCAAACAGAAATTCTACATCTTTGGAACAACATAAATTCAAATCTTTCATTTTCTCTACTGTGCTTTAACTCCGATGTTTCGCTCAGTGACGTAGTCATAAAGGAAATTCCAACT